TTGAGGCCAGTAACGGGAAAAGAGGGAGTTGGGAGGAGGGCCCGAAGGCTGCGTCCACTTCGACGCCGGGGGGCAACAAAGGCGGCGAGCGCGAGCCAGAGCCGGGCCGGCCGGTCTCTCTCACTGGAAAGGGGTGGGGTCGGACGCGGCCTCCGCCAGCGGAGCGCGACGCCTGCAGCTTTACTGGCCGGCTGGCACCCCCCTTTCCCCCCCCGCGATGGTCTCTTCCCCCGCGGAAGGCGCTCGCGCCGCTCCCTACAGGTTCCAAATGCAGGGGCGAACCCGGCGCTTCAGCTGATCCATCCGGGCACCATGGCGGCAGCGCCACCACGGCCTGGCGAATGGAGGAAGGGCGATGTGCCCTCCTGCGCATGCCCCGGTTCTGCCATTTTAGCTGCCGGGGGAGGGAATGGCCCCTCTCGGAACAAAGAGGAGAGGCTCCTCAGCGCCACCTAGGGAGCCGAGACGTGTACTGCGTTTTCTAAAGGCGTTTTCTGTTTCCGCTTTTCCTTGAAAACTTTCCAAAAAGGTTAAACGGGGACCTTGTCTGAATGGAAAAGTGTTTAGGATTATTAAGTACACACGTATAGATTTTCTGCTGCTGTCCATGAGGGCTATAGATGCCAGGATCCCCATAACACTGCTGCCCCTTCTAACCGGCATCATCTCATCACACCGAACGCGACAAAGATCTTTCATCCAAAGCGTCCAACTGTTTCTTGATAGTAGTAAAAATGTCCAAATGTTTTGATAGTAGTAAAAGTCATTTAAAGATTATGGCTATAAAACAAGACTATTATACACCACTCTTATGTGCTTAATAGAGACAGATGCTAGTTCCATAAAATTTATGGGTTCTTGGTACACAAAACTCGGTCCTGTATTACAGCCTGAACGTATCAGGAAAATGATACTGTATGGGCAAAGTACTTGATGCCAGAAAAGTTTTTATTAAGACAAAAATATATAACCTCAAGAAACCTGGTATTACAGGCATGCCTTACAAATAATAATGTGTTCATTAACTTGTTTTTGTTTTGTTTTTTAAAAAGCTTTGGAGATTTTACTATTTCATCCACTGAAATTGCATTGAACGATGTCATCCTTGCAGATATCCTTACTAATAATAGCCTGGTAATAACTTCCAGAGGACTAGCTGTATGAGTCTGTTGGTGCAGAAAGCAACCTTTTATTATGACATATATGCCTTTTTTGTACTAAAGTCCACAAGCTTTTGATTGCATGTATTGCACCAGCTGGCAGCCTTAGAAACTGTCAAACCAAATTCATTACTTTTCCCTTACCACTGAAAACAAAAAACAAGTACAATTCAAATTCCACCCAATAGATGGCAGATACTAGCCATCTAAAGTTGGGGCAGCAGGGGTGGGGGATTATTTTAAAGTGAGAAAACTGCAGGTGGCAACCCCCATTGTTTTCTTTCAGGTCTTGGGCTTCACTGATTCCCTGAGGAAGCCCGATGCAATGTGTCCTGAGTATTAATTAGGAAACTCTATTGTTATACCCCTTCTGCCTCTTTAAAGAATAACTGGATACAAAGCTGCGTCAGTGTATGGTAGCTTTCCCAGCTGTGTGCATACAATACATTTCCTGGTACGTAACAGCACCCTTCATGCAACACATGTCCAGCTTCCATTTTCATTCTGATTACCTAGCTAACAATTTCCTTTTAATGGTGCCTTTGTTGTTTTTCCTTATTGCTTGATGGTGCCTTCCTAGCATTCCATTCCAAGCCTATTACAGCTAGCCACTATTCAAATGTGCTGGTCTCAACTTTTGATTTCTTTACATGATGGAATTTTCTTTTGCTTTGCAGGTGCGTTCCATGCACCAACTGGTGGCTTAGCTTCTGACACTGAGTATCTTTGGGGTGGATGGCTGAAGATGAGATATCATGTGACAGGAGCAGAGTTGTACAGCAAGACCAGATGTACACTGAACATTTATAATGAACTACAAAGAAGGGTCCGAGCAATGGGAGCTCATCCTGTCGTAGGGATTTGAACCGCCGACCTTCCGATTGGCACTTAACTGTCAGGGGTCCTTTACTTTTACCTTTTACAAAGAAGGGTAAGTTACTATGAAACACAGTACACTCTGGATTGGATTGTAACATTTTTATTATGTTGCCCAGAGAAATCTGTTTATGTGATAGCATATACAGTATAAATGAATAAATTTGTTTATCAGAGCAAAACACTTTTATAGATTTTACCATTTTCTGGCCTTTTTCTTTCTTGGCTCATAGTCAGTGTGGTGTAGTGGTTAAGAGCGGTAGTCTGCTAATCTGGGGAACCGGGTTCGCGTCTCCGCTCCTCCACATGCAGCTGCTGGGTGACCTTGGGCCAGTCACACTTCCTTGAAGTCTCTCAGCCCCACTCACCTCACAGAGTGTTTGTTGTGGGGGAGGAAGGGAAAGGAGAATGTTAGCCGCTTTGAGACTCCTTAAAGGGAGTGAAAGGCGGGATATCAAATCCAAACTCTTCTTCTTCTTCTTCTTCTTCATTGTGCTTTTTGTTCCCTTAACGTTTCTCAAGCTTTTTGGGTTGATGGCTCCCTTGACCAACTTCATTCTTTCTGCAGCACCCCTGTGGGGATCAGGAGCCCAGTTATGTCACCCTTGCCTGCAGAGCTGGCAGCCTCTCACCCTTTTACAAACACCCACCCTGTTGGAGTATGCCCTCAGCCTCCTCTCCCCTCTCCCCTCTCCTTGCAGCTGCTGCCCAAGCCTTTGAGCTTTCCCTCCCCCCTTGCCCCAAAGAGAGGGGCCTCCTCACACTGCCCCACAGGGGCCTGAGAAGCAACCCCTGGCGAGTCCTAGAGGCACCATTCGCCTTTAACATTTAGTCTGACGAAAAGTTCTGTGGAACTCAAAAGGTTGAGTCTGCATTTTTAACCCTGATTGGTCCTGATGGAAGATATTATTGTCAATATTTCATAAATTTATAAAGCACAGCACAGCCTGGAGCTATTAAAGTAGCATAAAATAAGCCTTCACTCACCTCCCCACTCAATCACCATGATCCTTGTAAATGCAATTATGATACAAGCAATTCATCTTCAACCTGTAACCCTAATTTAAAAACAACAGAGTTCTATGAAACCTGTTATGATTCTAGTACTTTCTCTAGAGACATCACCTTGCCAACAAAGGCCCTTATAGTTAAAGCTATGGTTTTCCCAGTAGTGATGTATGGAAGTCAGAGCTGGACAATAAAGAAGGCTGATCGCTGAAGAATTGATGCTTTTGAATTATGGTGCTGGAGGAGACTCCTGATAGTCCCATGGACTGCAAGAAGATCAAACCTATCATTCTTAAGGAAATCAGCCCTGAGTGCTCACTGGAAGGACAGATCCTGAAGCTGAGACTCCAATACTTTGGCCACCTCATGAGAAGAGAAGACTCCCTGGAAAAGACCCTGACGTTGGGAAAGATTGAGGGCACAAGGAGAAGGGGACGACAGAGGACGAGATGGTTGGACAGTGTTCTCGAAGCTACCAGCATGAGTTTGACCAAACTGCGGGAGGCCGTGGAAGACAGGAGTGCCTGGTGTGCTCTGGTCCATGGGGTCACGAAGAGTCGGACACGACTAAATGACTAAACAACAACAACTTTCTCTAGGAAGGGAATGGATTGTGAAAGCTGCTGAAACTCTGGGAAACTGGGGGACTCTAGTCCATTATTATCCTGAAATGGTTTAAAGGGGTATTAGACTAATTGATGGGAAAGACTAGTATCAATAGTTATTTTGCCTGATACCTAAATGTAGAGGGATAACAATGTACAGCTGTCATGGGCTGGCTGGATGCATAGAAGTGGTGGGAGGCACCAGCTGAATAACCCCCAAGGGAAGGAGGCTCAAACCTAGGGGACTGGTAGTGGGGTGATGACAAGTGGTCAGAGGGAGAAGAGGGAGCAGATTGGGAGGAGGTGTCAGAAACTGAAGAGGTAGCAGGGTTTAGTGAGCAGGAAGAGGCTGTAGCAGAGAGCAGTCCAGCATCAGAGGCAGAAGTAGAAGCTGGAGAAGAGGGTTGCCAAGAGGCAGGCTGCTGAAGAATCAAGGGGTTCTCTCCAGCCCCCCACCGTTGCAACCAGCTCCTCTCCCCCCTAGTCTCCCAGAACATGAAGGGGAATGAAGAGGGCAGAACAAAGAGGGACAAGATGAAGGTGCCTCAGGTTGCTGAGCAGGGACCCAGGGGAGGAGGAGACTTAGAGTGCAGTGGACCTTCAGTCCTCATTGCAGCAAGACCTACTAGGAAGAACTGCTGTGCTCTATAGGCCTGATCTGTTTTCTTTCTTTGGATAAATAATTAACTTTACTGACACCATATGAGTTATTGTTGACCAGCTCCCGACCCCTGCCTTGACAAGAGCACATTCTTGGCATACAAAATGTCCCAGGTGCAATCTCCAGTTTAAAAAAGATATCTAATAGCAAGTGGTGGTAAAGACCTCTGCCTGAGACCTCGGAGAGATCCTGCCAGTCTGTAGACCAGAGGTAGCCAAAATCAGCCCTCCAAATGTGGAAGAACTCCCCATAAGTTCCAGGCAGCACAGAAAACAATTGTGATGAGAGATGTAGTCTGGAAGACACCAGCGTAGCTGTCTCTGCTGTAGAACATACTGGTCTGGGTAAACAAATAGCCTGACCTGGTATTTTTATTTTTTCTATTTATTTCAAAAAATTTATATACTGCTTGATTGAAAAAAATAGCAAACAAACTTCAAAGTGGTTCGTTGTCTCCAGCAGAGGGAGCTAACATGATTACAGTGGTACCTCAGGTTAAGTACTTACCGGTAATTTGTTCCGGAGGTCCGTACTTAACCTGAAACTGTTTTTAACCTGAAGCACCACTTTAGCTAATGGGGCCTCCTGCTGCTGCTGCACCGCCGGAGCACGATTTCTGTTCTCATCCTGAAGCAAAGTTCTTAACCTGAAGCACTATTTCTGGGTTAGCGGAGTCTGTAACCTGAAGCGTATGTAATCCGAGGTACCACTGTACTGTATTTCCCATTCTGTCTCGAATTGATGGGTGTTGAGCCACAATGTGTGGAGGACCCCATGTTGACAGCCCTACCCACCTGAGAGTTGGCCACAGTTGGCTCTGGCCAATTGGCCCTGTGGACAATACTGAGCCAGATGGACCATACCTACAGTGGATGCCTATGGAGTTTGACTCTATATAAATCTGACTCTATATAAGGCATTTTCCATGTTCCTAAGTGCCTGGGGGATTCCTGCAGCCATCTGGCTTGCTTCTGTAAAAATCTGAGTCCTGGACTAAATGGATAATTGAGGCATATAAACAGTTAGGCATATGCTACTTTCAGTGAGACTGCCACAAATCCTGATAGCTGAAAGGTACGGACAGTACTGAAAATGGGATTTGAAAATCATTAATCCGTGAAGAGATCAGCCACGCAAACCTGCAACTTCTTGCAGACACGTTGATTTCAATGTCCAGAATAACCAAAAGCATCAAAGCTAATATTTGGACAGAGGTCTTTCCAGTAGCTGCCAATATTGGGGTTTTTTTTTAGCGTGTGGCCTCCGCAACAAAGGCCGATCGAGCCACGTCACCAGGAAACGGATAATGTCCGGATAACCAGCGTCACGGCCTGGTCGCCACGAGCAGCTTACCCCCAATTCAGCTTCAACGTTTGCAATCGGGATAAAGGTCGGTCTGCAGAGAGGAAGGAGGGCCAATCAATGCCCGCGTCCTGCCGATTGCCAGAAGGCCGGCTCCAGCCTCAATGCCCACCCATCCTCCCCAGGGAGAGAAGGGGGAGCGAGGGCGGAGCAGCGTGTCCTGCTATGCCCTGTGGCGAAGCAGCGACGGAGGCGGAGAGCTTCTTGCTGCTGCTGGTGCTGCTGCAGCCGCTGCAGGTGGCTGCTTTTCTCGGATCCTTCCGGAGGGGGCGCTATCCTGCTTGGGCTCAGCCTCGACGGCAGCAGCAGCAAGACCACCAGCATCCTAGGCGTGCCGCGCGCTTCCTCGGGGCTGTGATGTAAGCTGCGGCCGCGCAGCTCGGCGGCGACTTCTGGAGAGATGAACCTGCAAGGGCTGACCCGCGGGGTGTCCTTCTATCTGGAGAGCCGCGTCCGGGAGGGGCTGCTGGCTTCCGGCGTCGGGTGGTCCCTGGTGCTGTGCTTCGGGGCCGCTTACGCCTGCTATTACCTCAGCAGCATCGCCAAGGTAGGGGGGCTTCTCGCGTCCCTGGGGAAGCGGGGCCGACCCCGGCCAATGGAGGAGGGAGCCGCAGGAAGCGGAAAAGGCCAGCCGAGGTCAGCGCCAGGCTAAGCCCATCTTTGAAATAAGCAGGGCTATTGTCCTTGGCTCGCCTCGGCTGCAGAGGCGGCGGAGGAAGCCTTTGCAGCGCGCGGCGCCCGATTGCAGGTCGATGGCTGCTGGGCTAGTTTGAGGGGCGGCGGGGGGGGGTCCCTTTTCGTTTTCACTGGGAAGGAGTGGAATGCAGGTCAGTTTGACTTTGAGTTCCCTGCTGGCTGGGCAACCTGGTGCTTCGGGATTGCGCAGCGCGTATTGCAGGTGAAAAGCAAGGTGGAAGGGAACAAAAAGTGAAATCTCAAACCTGGGGTAAAACATGTAGAATTATATACACTATTTTATACACACAATCACACTTTACATGAGGAGTTGACGTCTCCTTCAGGATGTGTATAGTTTTGCTTTTGCCTCCTAAGAATCTGTATGCTGCATGACTAGTAGACATTGATAGACCTATCCTTTCACAACGCCTCAAATAGTTTGTGTAAAAGTACATTTCATGGTGACAAACTCATGAGTCGTACAGGCGTTTTTCAGGATTCACAGTTCAACTGAGTGCAGCAAAAGGCTGTCAGCGTAGAAAACTACACTGGCAGAAAATGGTAAGTGTGGACTATTTGAACCCAAAGGGGCAGTGTGTTTCCAGGCTGCAGCCCCAGAAAAGGTCCTCTCTCATTGCCACATTCTAGATCAGAGCCCCAAACCGTGGCTTGAGCTTTACCCAGGTGGCCCACAGCATGTCTGTAATAATACAATTGGCTGGATGGGTTTCGGTAAAATTAGGAAGTGACGAAGGGGCATGTAAAGTGAGGCTGCAGTAAATTAGGAAGAACGTTCAGTGAAAATAAGTTGTTGGGAAGAACCTGAAGGAGGGGAATAGCTTGAGCAAAGAATGGATCTTGCTCCACCAAAGCCATGAATAAATGTAAGACTGCGGTATGATGTTCACTTACCTAGGAGCAAGTCACATTGAACACAGTGCCAACACACTTGCCTTTTTCTCGCTTTAGAAACCTCAGCTGGTGACTGGCAGCAAAGGGTTATCCTGTTTCCTACAGGACCATTGCCCTGTGGTGACAGAAACATACTATCCCACTGTGTGGTGCTGGGAGGGCCGTATTCAGACTCTCCTTCGCCCTTTCATCACATCTCGACCATCTGTGCAATACCGGAAGTAAGTGCCTGTGTCCTTCGAATCCTTTCTTCTGTGAAATATTTATGAAGGTTCAATCATATTCTTTATAGATTGGTTCTGTACTGTTACCTCTAACATAAGATCTTAGTGTGGTGTACTGTGCTACGTTAGGCCCCTTCAGGAGTTGCCTTCCACATGTGTTGGGTGGAAGGTCAGTTTGAAGGGGAAAACCTATGCGCATTTAGCTGAATGCGCACAGTCAGGATTCACAATCGCACAGGTTCCACATTGCATAGACGAGCCTGTATGCATTTAGCCAAAATGGCCATAGGGGTGCATGGAAGTCTGAAGGCAGAGCTGGTACAAGTGGAGTCATTGGGATGGGGACGGCACATATTGCCCTGCCCCACCCCTCTTCACACCATTATGGAACATGTGGAAGGTGACTTCTGAAGGGTCAAGTGTATTCATACATATATGAGAACTGGCCATACTTCTGAGCATCCTATGTTATTGTAGCTAGTGTCTTTGAGGCGCTTCCAGTATCCTGAAGAGCTATATGCACAAGACAAACCTCTGGGCTCGGAAAAGGCACCAGACTGGTGGAAGGCTGTCTATTTTCTAAGAATCCCTGAGAATTTGCTGTAATTCCAGTTAAGTGGGAAGTTTTACTTTCTATTTAAGGGGTCTCTGATATTTATTTAGCATGGGAATAAATGGCTCTTCCATTGTTAATGGGGATGTGGGTGCAAAAGAGCTATGTATTGAGCCCACTTGGCAACAGAAGTTTTTTTCACACACTTAATTCATACAGTATTCTGTTGCAGAAAGCAGACCTAAAACTGGCTACTAGGTTTCCTTTTCAGAGCTTTTACACTTAAGCAAAGTGGTCAGATGTTTGCTCCTCAGTAGTGGTACACAGCAGCTGCTAGACAGAAGCAGCACAGATGTTTTTATTTTGGTATCTTAGTCATGTGTTTGCTCACACTGCTCTGCTTACACAGCAGTAAGTTTTTAAGATTGATTTAATAGTTTCACCTTGGTTGCCCTTTTCTTGCTACTGTACATTAAATTAATGCATATAGAAAGATGTTCAATCATTTTTAAAGAACTGCAGACAGAAAAGCAAAGCAGATCTTTTTTTACCTCCCTCTCCATCCCTATATGTGCTTACTCACCTTAGTCTAACCAAGGAGTCCACTTGATGGACCTTGACCTGCATGCGTGAACTGGATGCACATCCACATGCATGCCTGAATGCAGATGCTCTCTGTCTGCACTTCATGGTTCTCAGCTGAGTGTGCATTTGGATTCATGTTCTGGAGAGGGAAGCATGATTGAATGTGCATCTGAATGCATCTTCCACAAAAAGCAGTGTAATCCAGTTAGAGCACATCTGATTTAGGCCTACTGTTCTTGATCTAGCCAATGATCTATGCATGGAAACCTGTTTCCTTGTGTGGAATTGATCAGGTTGGCTGACTCCATGAGACCAGTTCTAATGACAACACATGCAGTTTCAGGAAACCAAGAAGCACCTGCTGCTCTAACAACTGCCACTGATCCTCCTCACAACTTGAGAAGAGCTTCATCAGGTTTCCTGTGGAGATTGGGCTGTGACATCGTGCACCTTAGGGCATGGGTTGAGGCTAACTCCGGACTTGAGCCATTATTGACATTGCAAGGGGCAATCCACGCCATAGTTTAAAGGATCTGGGAAAGAGAATTGGGCTCTCAGCTGCATATTATCCCGGACCAGTTCATTCCCCATTTTAAGACCCAAGCTGAAGGAAGCAAGTAGCCAGCTGTGCCTTGTCTTTCAGCCAGCTGGTTGAGGCCTCATGCCTGCCTGCTATTTTCTGCTGCCAATGTTTGGAGACAGCATGAAAGCAGTGTGCATGCCAGCCCTGACCCCCCCCCCTTTTAAGCAACAACACAACTTTCTTGCATACCTTGAGGAGTTGTCCTAAGGGCCTCTCTTTTCTCCCATTCTCCTACTCCCTGTGTCCACCCGTGAAACATCTGATTAATGAATGGGAGTGATGGCGGTAGAGTGATTTTTTTTCTTTATTGTTGTTTTTGCAAAGCTAATCATTGTTGGTTTTTCCAGTGAGCTTATTACAGCAACTGATGGAGGGCAGATTTCACTGGACTGGTTTGACAATCATGATAGCATTCATTACCCAGATTCCAGCACCAGACCCACTATCCTCTTGCTGCCTGGCCTCACGGGAACTAGCAAGGAATCCTACATTCTCCATATGATTCAGGAGAGCAAAACACTGGGCTACAGGTAAAAGCAGCTTGGCTTGTTAATGTTTCTGTTTTAACCACTCGGATTAAATTTGCACAAGCGGGAAGCCACAATCATATGTAGCGGGTAGAGGAGTAGCACAGACAGCACTTGGAGACACTTTCCATCCCTTTGTTGGCCCTGACTTTCCACCCACCACATCTGTCACAGGCTCCTTTGGTAGCTGTCTCCGTGACCTACTTCCAGTCTCCACCACCACTACAGCAGACCATCTCAAAGATGGTTCCTGACGTGTTGGGAGACTTCAATCAGGGATCCATGCAGACTTAGCTTGACTGGGGTAAAGAACTGGTGACTACCTTAGCATAGTGGCAAAGAATATGAGTTGTGAAGTCCCTGGCTGAAATCTGACCATCCATGAACTCTGTTAGTGGACCTAGGCAAGTTACTGTTACTTAGCTTCAGTCTGCCAACCCATCAGCACTAAGAGCATCATAATAATAATGAACTGTTTGGCAAGGTTTACTGAGGTAATGCATGTGAAACACTTAGGGAAAGGTCAGTATCAACCAATACTTCTGCTTGTGTAGTTCAGACACCCCAGAAACTAAATGCAGGAGTGTGGAAGACAGGGCAGGAGTGTTTGTGTGCGCGCGCATGTATGTGCAGAGGGTGGTGTATTCACGTTGCCCTCAGTGGTCCAAGCTATCACCACACAGGCATAAGCTTATGTGGAGGGAATGAATTGGTCTCAGAGGATTTAAACTCTGTGGTGAATGTCCACCAAGCCAAATCCATCACAGTGAGAGAAAGGAAAGGCGAGAGGGAGAGAGAAAGAAAGGTTTCTTTCATCAGTGAGGGGAACTTGCCCTTCTCCACCTGGGGATGGGAATTGTTTCAAAGGATTGTTTCAGTAGAGGCAGAGACTATTACATCCCAATTCCATACCAATATTCCTTTCAGCAGCGAGGAAGCATTGCTGTTTTACTCGCCCTCCCGCCATGTTAACACACTCCCTGTTTATATGTCATACGTTTGTGCAAAGCAATGTTGATGTCCCTGATTTGAATAATTGGCAACTCTATATTTTTTAACTGGAGCAGCTTTGAAATGTGCGGATCTTCACATCCAAAGACACACAGGTTAACAGTTCTGGTAAACGGTGCTCTTCTGTTTTTTTAAAGGTGTGTGATTTTAAACTATCGAGGAATTGCTGGTGAAAATCTCTTGGTAAGAATTGCTCTTAAATTAAGTAAGAACACTGAGCAACCATAATGTTAGCATTTAGCATGGGTGCGAATACCTGCAAGCATGCAACACTTCATAAGCAATTTATGGTTAATTCCATCTCTGGGAGGGTTGGTTCCTCATTGACAATTGTGCCTCTTTATCTCATACAATGCAAAAATAAGAAAATAAAACAGTAAGTAAATGTCATATAAATAAGGAATCTACATCATTCTTTCATTCATTCATTAAATTAATCAGTAATTTTTCATGTTTTAATTGCGTTTAATTAATCTACTAAATGACTTACCTACATAGAAATTTATCTAACTTGGAAAACAAAATAAGGACTTCCAGATTTGTAGATTCAATTGAAACATTACTGGAGGTTTGTGCAGTGAACCCCCATAAGGAGGCATGGACAGCTGCCAAAGGAGACACTACTTCCAGGCTGGCCCTTTGCGAGAGTCTTGACAGGAGGAGGAAGTGGAACGTAGAAGCACTTCTACCTATCACTTACTGCAATAGATGGTGTTGAGTTGTAAGGCCTGGTGGTTGTCATGCTGGGGGCAAGATGAGGCTAGTGTCAAGGTCTGGCATGTTCAGGCAGCTGCCAGGCTTCGGATCTATGCTGAAAAGGGCCCAAAGTTGATCCCTGACCTTGCCACTGTGGCCACTCTTCTTGCTCGCTATACAGGAGGAGAGGATAGAAGCTGCTCCTTGTCACTTTCTCTTGTTGCTTGATTGCTTGCCTAAATGGTGATGGTAGGAAAGAGGAGGAGGAGCTACTGCTGTTGCTTGCTTTCTCTCCTCAAGGCAGCCGTACAGAGGGCCAGTCCGCACATTCTTGCTTCCATCGCTCCTCACTCACTCCCAAAGTGTGCAAGTAGTGATGACAACAGGGAGCAGCTCCTTGGCCACTGTTGGTGACGAATGGGCAGGTGGACCCAATCCCACTTCTGTCCAGAGGGGGAGAGGGCAGGTGGGTGAACAAACAGAGACTGCTGCTCCTCACTATGGCCTACATGTTCACTTACCCATTGGCTCTCTAAGAGATGAGATACTCATTCAAACGTAAGGAGAAGCTCACCAAGGGCAACTTTTGCAGCACCCCAAAACCTAAAGCCAGCTCTGGAAGTAGGTTTGGAGGCAGCATATGGAGATGCAGAAGCAGCCTTCCCTACTTGTTCAGATCAGTGACCAAACAATTTTAAGGTTTGCGAGGATTTAAGGTACCCTATAAGCCCACATGGTCCTTCTTCCTTCCTTCATTTAATCTGCCTCCCCAGAAGGCATGGAGATGCACATTCAGTGCATCCTTCCTATCTCATAGAATCATAGAATCATAGAATCATAGAGTTGGAAGAGACCACAAGGGCCATCGAGTCCAACCCCTTGCCAAGCAGGGCAACCCCCTGCAAGCTACAAGGTGCCGTGGGCTGAGGTTGTAGAGGGGGATGATAAAAGGGTCAAGCTCACGTACCATTGCTGCTCCATACACTTTTTGAAAGATGTCTCTTTTACTACCACTCCAGATTTATGTATTTTTGTGTTTTCATACAATAAACCCACAGCTTATGTGGGGGTTATGTTCTGGGGATCGCGCCTAAAGCCAAAATTGTGTCTAGTCCAAACCCATTGGGTTCAATGGTGGGTGAGATTGCCAAAGTCATTTCCCCCAAAACTTCTTTTCCATCCCGTTTTTGCCATGTGTGTAAAGCTGAATGTGCACAAGTTAAATGCACTTAAGATGTGGGCTTAATATACTGTAAACAGCCCTGTGATTCTCAGATGAAGAGTGGTATAGCAATTTAATAAATAAAGTGAAATAAATTTATTTATCTTTCCCCCAATAGCAACTAAGAAGATGGAGGAGTTTCCCCCCCAAAAATGAGGAGTCAGTGAGAAGTTATATAAATGATTAAGGTCTAGGTCTTGTCATATAACAGCTGTTGCCAGCCTCTGGAGAGGATTTTTACATGTGAAACACAGTGTACAGTTTTACACATTTAACATGCTGGTTTCAAAGTATGAATAATACATTCTCTTAATGAAAGAAATGTGAGAATCCATTTTCAGCATACTTCTGGAGATGAACGTACAAAGCAGTTTTGTGGCACACCAAGCCCTTTTTGATTATGTTTCAGATGAAGTGAAAAGATCTTTTGTTTAGCTGTACTTTGTGAAATGCCATGTAATCGGCTTTGCCTGTTTTACCAATAAAAGGCTGTATTCCCCTAAAAACAGCTGCAGTTGTAACTCGTCCAGCGTAGAATTTTTAGCATAATGATATAAAATCCAGGCATAATGGTTCTGAAGCGATAAACAAGAAATGAGTTAAGACAAGCACAGGCACATGCAAGTAAGTTATCTTAATCCTCAGAGCACAAATAAACTCCCTCATTTGGCAAACAATGCAATTTTAAAGAACTAAATTACAAATAAAATACCAGAAGATTAATGGTGCAATGCTATGCACATTTACTCTGTTCAGTGTGGCTTGCTTCTAGTTAAGCATGCAGAGGACTGTGGCTTAAGGCACACTTTCCTGGTGATCAACCCCATTTAACCAATTGGAAATTCTGGGGTAACATGCTTAGAATTGCACTGCATATTGCCAAGCAAATTAAGATTTTTTTTCCTAATTAAATAATTTAAAGGAAGCTGAGATTTTAATGTCTGTGCTACCTGGGAGTTTAGCTTGTGGAAGAAAACAGCAATGCAATCATATACATGTGTACTCAGAAGTAAGCCTTGCTGTTTTATTAATGTCATCTGGCGGGCAGAACTCCCATTGAGTTCGGTAAGCGAGTATTAAATTGCAAGTGTAGAGTTCAGCCTAAAACATCTAATGGGGCCAGTCTGAAGAGTCATTGCATTGAAAAATCAAGGTTTCTCCTTTTTCTTAGTAGCCAGAGGCTGTTCTGCGCACACATCTGCACTGAGCACAGTTCCCTTTTAGATAGATTATACGTGAACTACCCTTAAAAAGAAAATGCTATGCCGAAGTATTCCAAATTTTGTTGATTTTGTAGCTCATCTTGTAATGGACTGTGATGGATGGAGTCAGAGGGGAAAGAAGGCGGAGCAATGGAGACAACATCAAGTGGCCATGGTTTTAACCCATCGAATGCCAATTATTAGCAGTAGGTCTTCATTTCAATTTTCAGCTCAGCCGTGGACTCACTGCTTAGGCTTGAGTGTCCCAACCCAGCATTTGCTGAACTAAAGAGGAAGAGGCAGTTAATCAGCCCTGAATCAGCATATTACCCACCTGCATGGACCTTTCCTATCGGCTTTGCCTCAGCTTGACTCGTTTTTTTTTGTTTCAGACAGAGCCCAAAAATTAAACACTTCAGGCATTTACAGGGGAGAATTTGTGGGTGTGGAAGGGGTATCCATGCTCCATTTCCCCCAGATGTTCAAGTGCCTCCTGTAGGGTATGGAAGCCTGTGTTTCCCTCTTAATGTCTAAGCTCCAAATTATTTTTCATGAAAACACAGCATAATAAACTTGCTTGCCTTTCAGATGCCACAAGATTCTTTGTTGTTTTAGGATCTAATACCTCTTAAGCTTCACCCCGCCATCTGCATAGTAAGAAAAATAATGCTGGCTTGCTTTAAGAGTTTGCTTAGAGAGGACTGTTTGCAATATTTTGAGCTTTAAAGAAAAAAGCACATTGTTTAAATATTAAATCATGTTATATGACCATTATAATAAGTCATCATGGGATATCAAGCAGTAGGTGTCAGCACCCTTACAACTTAGGTAATTGTTCCACAGGACAAGTGGGGCAGGTCTATTCTACCTTGCTACGGCAGCAGCGATCCAGCTGAAAGCTTTTATTGGTTTATCCTAGGTTGTGGTACAAAGTGCCTTTAGGAAGTGCTACTGATGAGTTACCCACATGCTCCTTTTCTGTACAATTCCGCACTGTGCAAGAACTTTGTGCACAATGGTTTTAGTGAAGATGGCTCTTACCAGTGTTGCTATGCTTCTGTACGCTGTTACGGTACTCTCAATCAACTTTGCACACTAGTGCAACAGTTATTGCATCTAACTGTGTGCACTGATTTGTAACTGGGCTCCTAAGCCTAATTACAAATATACATCTTTTGTAGAATACATTTCCTTAACATATTGTGAGCTTAGTAGGATTTAATTGCTTTGCAAAAGTTATAGTGTAGCAAGGAGAGGGAGTTTATAAAATTTTAGTAGTGCTGCTATTAATACTAAAAGTGAATGCACTTGAAATCTTACCTCATTGAATATCATAACTTCTAAAAGTGTCATTGGTGCTTGTGTTAATCTTTTTGTATTATATTGCTGTATCAACCAACCTGGTGCTGCGTTGGCCTTGGCTGAAAGGCAAAACAAGTGTTTATTGTACTCTTTCCCACTTTTGGTTTCTTACAGACCCCAAGGACTTACTGTGCTGCTAATACAGAGGATTTGGAAACTGTTATTCATTATGTACACAACTTGTACTCCTCAGCTCCGTTGATGGCAGCAGGTGTTTCTATGGGAGGGTAAGTATTTATGCAACATAAATCCCAGTAGTGTAACTCTGTGGTCATTAGAAACCAATTTGCAAAGGCCCTCAATAAAGATTCTGCATACACAGCACAGATTCCATGGGAAATGTACTAAGTCTAATTTTCCATCGTGTTTCTACTTCTTCTTGAAAGAGAGTTTTACAGGGGAAGAGTGATTTTTCTCATTCAACCTTCCACATCATATGCTTTTGTTTACCATAATTACTTACAAGTTTATTTGCTGGAACTGATGGTAGCTCTCAGATAACAAGTGACAATAATTGGCACACATGACTGGTGGGAGCTATGTTTCAACATTTAAGCAGCATTTTATTTATAAACCTCAGACCTGAATTAAAGGCATCTGCAGGATAGTAATCAGTATTTTATTATTATATACATCTTGTGTGATTGTAGGATATGATTAATATAATTAACGTAACCAGTCTTCAGAATTGTGGGATGTGACCTACATCTTGTGATACAGTTTATTGTATTGGACCAGTCACTTTCCTTCTTGTTTGGGTTTGATTATGGCAGTTGGTTTACAAGTCATTATCATAGGGTTATAGTACCATGAGGGAGAGATGCTTTGCTGCTTACCTGAGGCAGCCAGCTCTGTGTAACTGTTTATATTCCTTAGGGATTTGGTTATTGTTAGTAGGAGACTTCTAAGACATAAAGACATAATCAAAAGCCTTGTACCCTAGACTGTTTGTTTATTAAAGAATTTGTATAAAATTTGTATAAAAGATTTGTATAAAAGGGAGGCAGCAAAGAAATGTTTTCTTCCCCTCCATTTTGATCTGTTTTATTGTGCATATGAACCATCAGCTGTAAACTGGAACACATTTATCCTTACCCAGTCTTTGTCGTTCTTCAAAAGAGCAGCACCAGCCCAGCTAACACTAAAAACTTTTACAAGACCTTTTCAGACATCATAGGAAAGCAAAAATGTTTGCCACAGTCTATATTGTATACACAACTTTACACATAAAATGGCCCCAGAGGAATGACAAAAATTGCTGCTGCTGACACTAATATGTTAGTCTCGCAGAAGCAGCAAAAAGAACAACCCCTGATTGGCTGTGATCTATCTTTTGCCTGTAGAATGGGCTGTCCTTCCCGTTCCTTTACACTGTAACCCCAGTGCCTTTGAAAAATTGATCCTGAGGTGATGGAGATATTGGGGACAGTGTGGAGTATAGTGTGGCAAACTGTGGGAGGAGCAGGAAGTAGACAGAAATTGCATCTCCATTTGCATGAGTTTTTTCCCATAGGTCCCTACTTGTAGGAATAATATTGTTGACTACCAAACAGAGTTTGGGCAAGAAATACTGCAATAATATATCCACACATAATATACCCACGACAGCTTTTCTTCAGATTGAGTCAGATATCAGTCTAGTGAATTCAGGTAAACTTTTAATTTAGTTGGTTGAAAGTTTCAAAGTTATTATTTGTATCATAAGCCATGATGGAAGCGTATTAAAATGTTTGGCCCCACAATGCCACACACATGATGGCTAGTATTGCCTTGACTAGTTTCAGTGCTTCATCTCTTATTACAAATGTTTAGGACTGAGGTATTTTCATTTGTGATTTCTTATTCTTTTTACCTATTTGTTTATCTCTTGTTTGTAGCATGCTCCTTTTAAATTATTTGGGCAAAACTGGCAGAGAAACACCACTGAAGGCTGCGGCAATTTTTTCAGCAGGATGGAATGTTTTTGAATCTGCAGACTCACTGGAAAAGCCAGTGAACTGGCTTCTCTTTAATTACTACTTAACCAGCTGTCTACAGTCTTCAATTATTAGGTGAGTCAACCTCACATCCATTGTGAAAGACCATAATATATTAGCATGAAATTCAGGTTCATTGCCAGTCATGTCAAATATGTTATGGTGTGTTGAAGGAAGCAGTACCCAAGCGAAAGCTGTCATCTTTGGCTATTTTTGCTCATGTGGTTACTCTCGGATCTCTATTTATTTTACAGACATCGGGAAATGTTTGATAAGCTGTTCAATATGAACCTTGTCATGAAGGTATGAGGGTTAGCCATTTGTATTTCACTTCATGTTTTTATTTTTACTAACACTTACATAAATCCTTTACTTGAATTCTGTACTTCAGGCTAAGACCATTAGGGAATTTGATAAGCAGTTCACCTCAGTCATGTTTGGCTACCCTACAATTGAGGATTACTATGCAGATGCTAGTCCATGCCGTAGGCTGAAGAGAATTGGAATTCCAGTGTTGTGCTTAAATGCTATGGATGATGTCTTCTCACCAAATCATGGTAAGTTTTTCCCCCTTTTAAGAAGATGCCGTTGGTTGACCTCAGCGATTGAGTTGTGTCTGAAACAGAATGAGAAGTTAGTACAGAACTAGGTGTGCAGTGTAATTTTCTTATGGCGTTCCACTCAACGCACAAGTCGCCAAATATTTGCACCAATAAAGGGTATACAATAATAATTATGGGCGGCTTACAGAATATCTAAAAACTTAATAAAAATATCAAGCCTTAAAAACCTCCCGGTACAGGGCTGCCTTCAGGTGTCTTCTAAAAGTTGTGTAATTCTTTATCTCCTTCACATCTGAAGGGAGGGCGTCACTAGCGAGAAGGTCCTCTGACTTCATAGTCAGAAAAAGAAACCTTACATAAAGCATGTGTCATAATTCTTGATCTTTTGTTACTGTATAACATCTCTGGCTGGCTGTATTTTTAATCATGTAAAATGAAAATACAACCTTTAGCAACCCAGAACCCCAGACTTTGGTATGTCATAGTTCAGTTAAAACTTTTATTACCAAAACTGGTCTTCATAAAATTGATCTTTTAAAGCTGCATTCTGCTGACAGCAGAACTGCACTTCACCAAAAACATTCATTGTGTTATAGACTGAATGATAGTTATGAGAGTGAAATGTTGGGATGGGAGCTTATACTTTGTTCCCTTATTTCTTTAGCCATACCAGTAGAAACTGCAAAACAAAATCCTAATGTGGCTTTGATTCTTACTTCTTGTGGAGGCCATATTGGTTTTCTGGAAGGACTGTGGCCAAGAAGATGCACATACATGGACAGAGTCTTCAGACAATTTGTTCAAGCTGTGTTTGAGCACGGAAGCAAAATCCTTAACATATAGCAACTTATCAGAACCATGACTGCAGCACAGCGGCATATTGTGATCAGGGTAACGAAGCTTAATGCACACGATTTAGCAAATAAGCCAGCAAATGGATGAAATCCATTATTAGGAGCGAAATATAGTTTGCTTTGATAATTTTGCAATATAGTTACTTTTTTATTTTAACATGCCTTATAAGAATGACCTTAAATAAAAAGAATACTCTGCACACATTAAATTGCACTTAACCAAAACCATGTAAGTAAACCAATAAAAATTACTCAGGTTTTTTATTTATTTAGATAATTGATTTAGGAATCTTGCATACTTGTTCACATGCACATAACATTCAAAACCATGATTCTATTGTAATACATGAAGTGGGCTTGTCTCTAAGGGCACTTATGGAGGAAACGCTTTAGGAAGATTTTAAAAGTAATGCAAATAGGAGTTTAAAAAGCCATCATTAACTTTAGCCATGGGCTACAATAGCATTACAGCACTTTAGACCCTATGGGGATTATATGTACTGCTTTTTCATTTACGTTGATGCCATATATGTCTTACTTTTTAAACATTGTTAATTAACTTATAACATTTATATTTATACCAGATGTTTTATGTTGAAATGCAGAATGGAAATAAATTACATTTTTAAAGAAACATATTCGTTTAATTTTCTGTGCAATAGCAAGTAAAGTTTGTATATAAAGTATTTTTCATAGAAGGAAAACTAAGCTTCTCATTAGAAAGATTAGGAAATATGTAATACAAAGTATAATTGCCCCAGGCTGAATAGCATCACTGGATTATTTTCAGTCTCACTCTCCATCCCACTGGGAATAAAAACAGTATCAGGAAGAGATATAAATATTTTGAATTTGAGACTATGCCCTGGAATGTTTTCTTACTTTGTCCCTCTGCTGTTTCCTAAGTAGTGGAGTAATATTCAAGAATGACCTCCTCCTGAGTAAATACAGCACATTTCCCACATATCCAGATACACAAATTCCTGTATTTGTATTAACAGAATGGAATAGTGAAGCAATACGAGTAAATTTGCTTCCTTCTGCACTGCTGTCTAAGGCACAGTTCCACCTCTGGTATTCTGCTGGACAGCCCATATAGGACTTAACAGGGAGCTAAAAGTTGTTTGCGGTGGGTGAAGGGAACAGGTGACAGCCCATCCCTCTGCCCCATCCCCATATCATGAATTATCACGCATCATCCCTAGTTTCCTTGTAACAGATTCTGAAGCTTTTAAACCTGCTTCTTCTCCGCAGCAGAAAAGCACAAGTTAGGTGGGGTGGGGGAGGGCGCAGAATGTACTGGTTGCAAAATCAAGCAGCATGTGGGAGAGTTATCAATTATTCTCTAAAATGAGTTATTAAATAATCCTCTTACTAAAATAGTCCTCATAAACCAGCAGCTGCTGGAAGTTTTCATTTAGTGTCTCCCTGAAAAGTGCTTTAGAAACAAGACCTCAAAAAAGGAGTCTGAGAGTGTATTGTTAATATGATGATAATGAAGAATTTAAAGACAGAAAACATATGCTCAAAAGCCTTTCATATAAGATACTTTGAAACCGAGTCATACTGCTTAATTCGAAAGTTGATTATGAGATTTTGGATGAAGATTTCAATCCTACATGCACCGACTACAGCAAGACTTGCTTTCACTTTGAGCCTTGAAACAAATAAAGCAGCCTATTGCTATTCATTTCTATAGAAGCAAAAGTAAAGTACATTGACTTAAATGGGACTTTTCTCCAGGAAAATCCATTCAATCCTTTCTTGGGTTAGAAGTCTAAGTGAAATTGGTGGGATTACCAACTGTATGGGATTAGAACAGAGTTGTGTCTTATGGGGACATTAGCACTGAAATACAGTACAAATTCAGTTCTCTTCCCAGTACTGCCAAATCAAGAAATTCAGTAGTTTTCTATTATAAAAAATACTTTCTAAAACCATAACTGTTCCCAAACTACTTGTTTTGTTTAGGAAGTTACATATGTTTATAATTCTATTCATGTAGTGTTTTCTTAATTCTTAATATTTAAATACTGTACTACAAACAATCCCCAACCTCTTTTCCGTCCTACCTACTTTGTAGGACTAAGAGCACTGCTATGCTATTCGTTTGACTTCTTTTCCCCCAGGGCACAATAAATTGCTAAGTGATTTGAACACTAACCAGAAAATAAATATAAATCTTTTCGTATACAGCACTCCTTACACACGCTTTCCTGGAGTAAGCCCCTTTAAATACTACATTTTATTGACGGGAGCAGTAAGAGTTCGCTGTAGTGCCGCAATCTCTTATCGGTGGATGAAGGAAGGAATTGGTACAATTCCGTTATATAAAAAGGCTTACAGTGTATAATTGCGAATTTAATTCTCTCTAGTGCCTGCCCGTATGAAGCCGAAGCTACAAAAGAGAAAGGCGTGGGAAGACTCAGGGTTTGCAGAAGTGTGTGTATATATGAGGTTTGCAGATTTATATGCATATACATTATACATATGTGCACCAGGACCCCAGGCTCCCAAAAGGAACAGTCCGAGTGTGCACAGTGTATTTGGAACACCGAGCTTTGGAGGGAGATGAAAAGAACCGAACAGCCACCCGAACGAGACAACTGCCTTCAACTGCTCATGCGCAGGTGCTTCTTAGAAAGCTCGTCGCCGGATATCCGGCCCAGACGCTGCGAGGCTTTTCGGGCAGCAGTAAGCGTGACTGTCAGGTGTCAGCTGGCAGCGCTTTGGGGGCGGGACTAAAACGGTGTCTTCGCAAAGGGAGGTTAAAGCAACAAGACGTTTCGCGCCGCCATCATACTTCTGGTTTCTCAACGCAGTCTTTCGACTCCTTCGGCAGTAGGCGGGGCAGGATTTAGGTATGGTGAGGCCCTAAGCTACTGAAGGTAATGGGGCCCTTTATATGTCCAGTTGTCCTTTGTCAACAACAAATTGTCGTTCTGTTTTGTGTTGAATATTAGGCTATATGGTAATTTATGGACCTAATTGTTATCTAAAGCCATTTGCACACGCAGAATGTAGGCACCCTATATATAGGAATGAGCAAACCAGTGATATTTTAGGGAGCAGGCTAGCAGGCAGGGGCCATTACTTACATCATACTACACAACGCAAAACACTGTTGCTGTATGTAGGTTTTATTTTTTATCTTATATTTTGGAAATGTACATCCAGGGTTTTTTCCCTTTACATTTTTGGGGGGCCTCCAAGTGAGTGGGGCCCTAAGCTATAGCTTGTTTAGCTTATACATAAATCCGGCACTGGTTAGGGTAAGAATGATGGAGGTACACTGGGCAGCGGATGGTTGTACTCAGGCAGCCATAACCCACTCCTCCACAACAAACAATACTTTTTCTTGATTGGTTACTGGAACAGAACTCTGGGGTTTGGAAATAGAACTGACTCTTGTCGGGTGCAGTAGAAGACAGAGAAATGGTTTTTGCAGAAATAAATATTTTATTTTATTATTTTTTTAAAAAACCCTCAATGCGCCTGGTTCTTGTGGGGCAGTTGGTGGAAATCAGTGGAACACTTTCGGCCCGGCCTTCCTCTAACCCGGTGCCCTTCAGTTGTTGCTTTTTGACAAGCATGTAATCATTCCCCGGATTCAAAGACAGAATTATTTCAAAGCAGTACAGCGAAAGGAGGGCTTGTAACCTTTCACCCTTGAATAGTCTTTTCATAAGTAAATAGAAGCTTCGCTTCCTTGCCCCGCACATGGAGGAGTGTGAGCGCTGTAATCGGGGACCGGAGATCCTCCTGGAAAGCCATTCTACGAGTGCCCTTGGGCTGGCGTGATACCCGGATATGAGGAGGCGTTCTAGTCGCTTCCCTTTTCTCTCTCTCGCTCAGTGTTGTTCGGCGCCGGCCGGGTGACATGAGGAACCTGCGCGGGTGACACCGACGCTGCCTCGAGCGGAGCCCTCCCCCTCCCCACGCCACTTTGTTCGCGCGCGCCGCCGCCTCGCTCGCCCACCCGGCGCCACGGCCCCAAAGCGCCTCGTCCTGTGAGGGGGGCAACTTGGCCGACCTCCTCCTCCTTCTCCTCAAGAGGTAAATGACAATCCTCCTGCCCTTCCTCAAGCAGCCGGTGGGGAGGGGCGGGGATAAAACCAGAAAGAAATATACGGAGGCTGTGGCCTTTCCCCGCCGGAGTCTCCCTCTCCCTCTCCTCCTCCCCCCGAACCCCAGTTCGGCTACCGGGACCCCGAGAGAGAAGGAAACCGACGGGGATTCGCCCCTTTCTCGACTATGGGAATTTTGGCTTTGTTGGAAGCGCCTTTGGGAAGAGGAGCAACGCCTCCCCCCGCGCGCCTCAAAACACTCCTCACATTCTTTGTATTTGCAAGCTCGACTCCCCTCTCTTTTTCCCATGGAGCCCCGAAGCAGTGCATAGCGGATTAGGGATTTCTGGTGTCAATAGGCAACATGGGCTTGGGCTGCAGTCTTTTAACTACGTACTTAGGAGGGAGCCCCATTCAGTTCAGTGGGGTTCGCTCGCAGGTAACATGGCCTCCCTCCAGCGCTCTCTCTCTCTCTCTGGCAAATCTGGCTTTTGTTCTGCTAGGTACTAGCCAGGTGAGGGGGAGGGGGAGAAGGGAAGTGGCACAAAGCCACTTCTTTGGATGTGTTAAACTTCTTTGGATGTGCTAAATCGTACCCATTGCATTGATAAAGGAACTGGTTTGGCAAGCTCCTCTTTACGTTCTGCCATTGTAAGACACCACAACCCAAGATTTTGAAGGAGACCCAGGATATCACCTGAACTGACCAGAAGCACAAACAGTAAGTGCAAGTGGCACTTAATTCACACAACAAGATTTTGCCTTCCTCTCCTAGCAGCCCCCTCCCCCCATCCCTATGGATCAGATTTTAAGGGTTTTTGGGGAGAGGAGGGAGAAATCATAGAATTGTAGAGTTGAAAGGGACCACAAGGTTCATCTAGCCCAACCCCCTGCAATGCAGGGTTCTCTTTGCCAAACATGGGACTCAAACGCACAACTCTGTGATGAAGTGTCTCGTGCTCTACCGAGTGAGGGAAGTTCCGTTGTACAAGCAGGGTGGCTGTGTTGAATACAAATCAAAGTGTGTGTATGAAAGATACAATATAATGTCCGTATGAGGCACTTGGTGATGAAAATGTTTATAATGGGCATAAATCTATGGCCTTGTGTACAAAACCTGGCCTTTTGTACAAGTCAGGTGGTCTCACAGTTGGGGTAGTATGGGCTTTTGTAATAAGTAAAGGGACCCCTGACCATTAGGTCCAGTTGTGGCTGACTCTGGGGTTGCGGCGCTCATCTTGCTTTATTGGCCGAGGGAGCCGGCGTACAGCTTCCGGATCATGTGGCCAGAATGACTAAGCCGCTTCTGGCAAACCAGAGCAGTGCACGGAAATGCCATTTACCTTCCTGCCAGAGTGGTACCTATTTATCTACTTGCACTTTGACGTGCTTTCGAACTGCTAGGTTGGCAAGAGCAGGGACCGAGCAACGGGAGCTCACCCCGTCGCAGGGATTCTAACCGCCGACCTTCTGATCAGCAAGTCCTAGGCTCTGTGGTTTAACCCACAGTGCCACCCACGTCCCTGTAGCCGTAGACAATATTGGAATTGCTAATGCTCCAGAGATA